GAACAATCAAATGATTGGAATGTCCTTTCTAGATAAGACTAAGATAGAAGAGCGAACGTATTAATTGACTCACTTTTTCGATGCAGCTCTTCTTCGCAGGGTCAATCATCGATTCGAATGGAACAGTTGCGCCTCAGGGGTGACAAAATGATTAGTAACAAAGAAATTTCTGCATACTGGATAGTTGATTATTGTTGATGAAGAAGGCAACGTTGTACATGGAGTAACGAGCGAAAGAGAGAAAAAGAAAATACAAAAAGTCACTGTTCATTCACTCGTACATGATACGATCAAGTTTGGCCTTCGATAAAAAACTCAAATTTGATGAACGCATGTTATTCAACTCCCTAACGATGTTCTAGTCAATCAATAATGTGTGAGTTTCTTTTATTCTAATCTGATTAGACAACGGCACTGTCTCTCTCTTCTTCTCCTCACTCGTTCAATCTATCTACGAAACAGAGATGGAAACCGATGTGTACTGTCTATCTCGGCTAATCTCTTTGGATAAAAAGACAAAACATGAACACTTTCTGAGTACATAGTGGAAATTAGCACTCTCACTAGATTATTCATTTCTCATATGAATATCAAGCTTTCTTCGCGATTTCTTTTGGGATCTTTCTCAACTTCATAGGGAGACACAATCGATGTTTGTCAACTGAAGGCCATATTCAATCGTGACTGATCAATCGATTTCAACTGTGCACCACCCGGTTATAATGATAGAGAAAAAGAGAAAGAAAATGAGTGAAAGCGTTTGCATGGTTGATTGAAGTTCGATGATTAAACTCAACTAGACTGTTCATATGATGACTAATAATGAGCATATACGAGCCGTAAAGCGTAGCCAATGTACATATATTAATGTATACATTGCCTCTTTGATATGGAAATATGCGTGCTGGTGATATCGCATTTCGATGTTTTTAATTGTATAATGTTTTCGCCTATGATTCGAAGCGGTGAACGTGTAGAAACGTATAGACGTCGAAAAGGAGAAAAAAAAGTTAATCAGCAATTGTTTTTCCATTACATCCAATGTAATGCTTAGGGCAGCCGTATGTCCTCTCAATGTTCTACTCCTGTCACATCATTGTCGAAAGTTATCTGTCAGAAACTCATCCGTGCTCATCATTTAACAATCATATCTCTCTCTCTCTCTTTTGCTCTCTCAATGCATGCATCGAGTTTGACCTTCAACTGAAGAGTTGTACTAATCTGCGTATCCATTCGACATGAACCTATTCATTATAATAAGACGAAAGATGATTGCATGCAATAGTTGTCATTTCTAACGGAAAAAGAAGAATATTTTTCAATCATATCGAGAGAATGTTTATATTATATGTATGAGAAAAAAAAGAGATTAGTGTCAACATAAAATATTGATTAGTTGACAAGAGATTCAATTTTCATATTTCTCATGTTTTTCTTCGTTTGCTTTGATCGATTTTATATTGAACGCTGGCAAAAGAAGAAAATTCAAATTGTTCGACATCGAATGAAACATAGGGCAAAGAAATGTTCTATGCTTTCTCGATGGAAATACCGTCTGTCCTTAATCCAGGCTACTTTCACTGGTTTTCGATGTAAAAGTGATAATAAACCAGGGAGGATCTATGGCTAGCATAAATACAATGATAAATATCGGCAATAACAGGCGCGTGTACGAGTGACAAATGTCAGGCACAGAAAAAGTAACTGGTCGACGATTTTCTATACTTGTTTTGCTTTTCGCACATCATTATATCCTTCAGTTGTAAATAGACACAAAGATAGATATCTTTCATGTCATTTTCTCTTCATACAATGATGAGAGAACGTCCAAGAGCTTATCTTCGAAATCGATTTTCGGAAACAGTCTGCAAATTTTTAAACCTATTTACGGTTTGTTCGCGTCATTCAACGGCGTATATCATTGAGAATCCATCTTATTCCACTCCATTTATAATACCAAGTCCTACCATTACACGACGAAACGTGTATTTATCTAACCGGCACAAATTGACCTTTTATCCAACAAGTTTCACTTCACTCGATCGAGTATGTTGTATATGTCAAGAATCTTGAATATAGATTCATTTTTTTCCTTGTCGTCATTCGAAATAACAAGCAAATTATCGATATTTATCTTCATCCGAGGTCAACGTTAGAGTATTGCACATTTTCTCTTCTTCATCGTTTCATCTTCATGCACGAGACTTGACTTGATCTGCTTATATGCAGCAGATGTAAATCGTCGTTTTATAATGTCTCATTACAACACACGCAATACTTCTTTTTAGTTTCTCTCACTATTGAAAAAAAAAGAAGAAAAAAAAAGTAAATCGTAAATAGGGTGTGAGCAGATGAGCACGTTCAAATTCAATTCATTTTTTCTTCTTTTACTCTTATGTACACTTACATATGCTGCACGCTGTACTCGATAATATTTCAGCAGAGAGCATGTGAATAAGATATATTAACTAAGGACATACGTATATATTCATTCGTGTCAGTTTTCGTCCAGTGAGTATTTGAAATAAATCGAATCTGAGTAAGTACAATCGAGTGAATGATTTCTCTATATATATTCAATAGAGAAATCCTTTTGATCACTCGATGCTATAAATGACATCAGTCGAATCGGATATTTGTATCCATCATGATGATACAACACAGCGCATAGTTAAGAACGATGATAGGGCAAGTGGGCATTTATTTATTAGGGATAGAACAGAAAAAAAAGAGAGATATCGTAGATGTATTATTATCATTATTATAGATAGATCAAAACAATCGAGTTTCTGCGTCGCTGTCTTCTTCTTCTTCGTTGTCGTCGTCACCTATTTCAACCTGTCACTCTTGTTTGACGAATGATCAAATGCTGTGCACAAATTCTGATAGCCTCGACAAATCCTCAACACCTCCTGCATCAACACACTTTTCCTATCTAATTCGGCCAACAACGCCATGTATATTTGGGAGAGAAGATTATCACGATGAGGACGAATATATGAATGATGACGATGAATTCTTTTTAACTGCGGGTGGAATTGTACATTCTTGTCCAAATATCTATGAATTATCCGTTGTTAATCATCGAAAACTGCAGTCATGTGATCACTTGATTTTTCTCAATCATGAAAATACATTAGTTAATCACAGTTGTTTGAATTGTTACGATACAGAATTAGACCGATATTCCATTGTCCCACGTTTTCAACCGATTGCATCATCGATATCGACTGATTCAATTAATTCTGAACTTGAATTATACAAAGAACGACACGCAATCGGACTTTATCGTCAACAGTATCATGATGAAACATTTTTACCTACTACTTGGAAATCTGATAATTATCTTTTGTTTATGCCAGTTATATCTTCATCTCATCGATCGTCATTTTTAAGCTTAATCGATCACGGAAAACGATCACGTTCGCATGACACATCTTTTGAACAACCGTATGCGTCTATAGTTACATAAAATACATTTTCTTCCCTGTGATAAAAAGATTTCGTTGAAATAAATCATTGATAAGTTCTCTTTGAATCTTAAAAGTTGAATTTTTCTAAACGAATGTGACATGACCATGAAAGTCAATTTCAAATGATACAATAGATGACATTAACTTAAATCTCGTTTGTCAGGTGGATATTTCTCTCTACGAGAAAATGTCACCGAACATATCTTTGACCTTCATCTAATCATTTCTACTTATATCAAAAGTTCATCAAGTGAATAGATAAATATATCATCCTACATTTTCTCGTTAACAATCTGTAACGAATTATCAAGGCGAAGATCTCTTTTTCTCTTAAGGATACTTTCATTAAATCCAGTCGCGAGATGATTAGATCAGAAACGAAGTCTACTTTATTGACAATCTGTTGATTGATGTTATTGTCAAATTAACTGACAGAATTTTGAGAAATTTAGTTTTATTTCTTAGACACAGAAGAAGAAACTCGTGCCAGTCTCATCGCGGCTATCATGATTTTTATCAATGTGTTGACATGTTTATTCAATATGACAATCAAATGAAAAACAAATGTGCCCTTGGTAAGTTTTCTTTCTATAGGTCAGTAGAGAAGGTTTCATTCTGTGCATCGAAATTTGTCTCGTGAATAGTGAATCTTGGTGTAGATTACAAGAAACAGAAACAATCTAATCTATTTGATAAGGTAAAACTTTGTAAGGGTTAAGAATACATTTTGGATCGAACATTTTCTTCATTTGTTTCATCAATACTAGTGACTGTTCGCCTTTATCAGAACCAATGAATAGTTGTTTAAGATCAATACCGGTATTGTCATTTCGTAATGATATTAAACAGTTCAATAGACTGCAATAAAGTAAAACGATTTCTAAACCAAGAACCGCCGAACGAAGTGAACCAAAACGAGCAACGTGCAGTCCGCCAACAGTCGCACAATAATGCAGCACGAGCTAAAAGATTCCTTCCTGTTCAATTATTTCTAAGCTACTCTAGTCTATTCTTTTCAAGAGTTACAGTGGCGCGAAACCTTGTCTTTTGTAGTGGCAAATTGTTTTTGAAATCATAAATTCATCTCATTGACAAGGAAATATTTATTTTTGAGGATAGCAAGTTTCGAAGAAGCGCTCAAAGTAAAGAAACTCACAACAGTGACCGCAACAAATGAGGGAACGATAACAGAAAACCTTACTATCGATATCAGAACATGTTTCATTGGCGGCACAAAAATCTTTCTAACGTGAATCAGTATAACCAGACGCGAACCACGAGTATTTGATGATTTATAAGAATAGTTCAGAAGACAGTTGATCATGAAGGAGAAAATTTATTTGTATGATAGTGTTCCTCTCGGACAAATTAATGGTAATATTACCGTGTTGAACATAATCAAAAACAAATCGACCGTCCAGTTTTCAATGTTTTCTAAAGAGAACATTCAATGATTGAATGCGCGACGTCGTATGTGCTAGGATTTTGAATGTTTTACCTCCCATCTTTGCAATTACAACGGGGTTATACCGTGATTACAATCTAATCTCATCGTAATCGCAAACACGGGTACTGCCATTTGCACTTTATTTTAGTGGCCCACAAGTATGACCTCAAAAGCGATGAATGACTTGGGGAGGTCCTCTCGTTAGTCATGTTAATACTAACAAACTCGAATGCAACTTCATTACTCTAACAAAATTTTGCCAACCAATATAAATATATTTTTATGCTATAGAATCTCATGTATTCTTACCTGAGCGGACTGACATACTAGATTTTCTAATTAATCGCAGATTTCTTTATATATATAGAACCAGACATACTAAGAATCGCCTGAAGTGAGTATTTGATTGCTTGTTCCATGGGAAAAAACATTTAATATAAGACAAAACAGTGAGATGAGTAACCGATATACTCGTTAGATTCATATTAAGTGAGTAAATTCGAATATCGGTGCATGTTATCACTATGATATGCGTTATCATCACATGGTTCATAGAAAATTGAACAAGAAATCCACCAGCACTTCTGTATATATTTGTTTTGTGACGTGTCTGTATTGCTAAACAATAGAACATTTGTGGGTTTCTCTAATGAGTGGTTAATTTATTAGCACAAAGGGAAATTATCTGACTGAATATAATCAACAGATGCAAGATTTTTTTTCTGTACAGCTTTTCTCGCATCAATTATATCGTAAGAGTTACCAGCAAGTGAATACCACGCTTGCAAAACCAGTATCGAGTGAAATACATCCACCTTCTTGTATGATACGATCTATAAGAACAGCAAAGGTCATCTTTCGCTATTAAGTTACTCATAAATCGCTTACTGATTTCGAAAGAAATAAGTCTTACGAATCTTTTCTCTTCGAATATTCCACTTGAGTTATTCAATTTCAATTGATCTTCTATTGTATAGAGATTCTTACCACTAACGCATAATTTTGCTATTATTTTTCCCAGTTGTTCTTTAGTTTCGTCGTTGGTAATATCGTCAATGGCATCAAAAATCTCTTCAATTAATTTTTGGGTTTGCAGAACTTCACCAAGTATTGTTTGTTCAACTGTATGCACAATATTCATATCCGTCATGAATTTTCTAATGAAATATCGAGCTTTGTTTCTTTGATTCACTTCCTCGTTTCGTATCTCCTAAAGTATTAAATGAACGTTTAACATGCCCATGGGATTAAATACAACGAAAGAGAAGAAGAACGACGAAATTTAATCAAATTTTTAAATACGCACCGAGTAAGTGTCAAATAGGATCCCATGAAAGTGAAATGAGTGTCAAGCCACAGAAATGACTTTCTCCAACTAAATTGACATCGAATAGACGATTTCTTTGTCAGTTTATCTTCAATGCTTCTTATGTGTCGCTGTCTACAACTAGCACGGATAACAGATGCTTTCTCTCCTTCATTGAGGAATGACAGTAAGGAAATAAACATATTTCGTCTTTTAAACGAAGTTGCGATAACAATTTGATAATTGAACCATGGTTTGGATCTAAGAAAGATTGAACGTCAACCGTATGGTTTGAGAATATCTACGATCATATACCTAGTTCATTCAATTTAACAATTAAGGATTTTTGTTTCGAACTATCCAGATCAAACACGTTGCGAAGACCACAGCTGCCAAAATTTGTTTAGGATATTATCGTCTACAAGTAGCGCTCATTCTTTGGATTCGCTGACCCTTTTCCGAAAGAGTGGTCCCAGTGCTGACCACATTCAAACACTTTGAAAGACAACTAAGGCACTGCGATTGCTACTAGTCCTCAGCTGAACCATGGCATTATATCACACACTAGAGTGAATAGAAGACAGAGATTGTTCTTTTTCAGAAACCGAACCGATTAGCCATTCGTCAGTGAGTATTTCTCGAGAACTAACTGTGTTGATTGAAAACGCCATCCCCCAATGGCTAGTCGCTCGTCAACCTCCCTCCGGTCGGCCACTCACGGCTAGCCGTTGGCACATATACGATTAGTTTCCCATTTTCACACCGAACAATTGACTTGCTCATAACTGATCGGTTTCTCATCCGAGATATTGAAACTTTACATAATAGTGTGATTTTTGTCACAGATTCTACTCTTCTCTCCACTTGCGGAACTCGATAATTGAGTGGTCTCGTTCTCAAAAAGAGTATTAGTTAAATTTTCTTAAAGATCATTTAAACTATCTGCGTCTTTCAACTCTCATTTACACTGAGTCGGTCTGCAACCGAAGCTGTCACAATTCAACATAACTGTGCGATTTACAGGACATTTGCTATTATTCTTTTCAATTTAAAGAGCTGATTATCTGCAGGACTTATTCTCGAAGCTCGAAAGACATCAGTAATATTCGTTAAAAAATCATTGATATTAACTCATCTCTCAAGTAGTTTTTGAAACAAACGTCTAGTCGTTCGTCGACTTCCCTCCTGTCGGTCACTTACGGCTAGCCCTTGCCACGCTACCTCTGTTATGCCTTTGACATTTGACTAACTTTTAAACTGAATAATTGTGCTTGATTTCATTGTGGCTTCGAAAGTGCTGATCTTCCATCTATTTGATCCCGAAAAGAAAATAGATAAAAGTTTTATTTTATTATTTGCTGTGAAAAGAACACGCATCATAATGCACCCTATGTTTAGAATACTATTTGTATAGGCCATGTCTTTGTAGTTAATAAGATGGAATTGCACTTACGAGTATATCACTCTGGCACATATTTCCACTAAATTCCTATTGGAAGACTAGACGTATCACAGCCTAGAAGACACAAATGGTATTAAGCTTATACCACTTTTTATGATTTCTTGGACTAGAAATATCATGATGTATGGCATATTAAATCTTCTTCTGTAAACTCCTAAACTACTCTATTGGTCCACATCACCATCCAGCAGTAGCGTCCAGACCACTACCTTCTACAATAGATTTTAGGACGGTACAGAAAAATATCTCTTCTGAAAAGAAGAAAGAAGTCGAAGGTTCGTGACTAAGAAAAAACTAACGTCATTTTCGAGATCCTCGACCTCGATTACCCTACGGTCAACCCTTACTTGACAGCGAAATTAATTTTCATTATTTAATTAGCTAATTAGAAATTTAAGAAGCTAATATCAGATTCGAAATCCTCGACTCCAATTACCTTCCACCAATCGTTTTCTAATAAGTATGGTTAGGTCTTCATTGATTTATAAAATGCTGCAATCTGATTGGATTATACAAACAAACTTTTAGCATTTTAACGACCGTATTTCATACGCTATTACTCGTTCTTTCAGAAAAGAGAATTAGAAACGAATTAAAAACAAACAACGAGTAATCGAGCTTTCAGAATCTGCAGAAATCCGCTAGGAAAAACATGGGATTTTGTCGGATGCCAGAAATGCTAAGAATCGTCGACTTTCGGCGTATTCCCATCGCATCCGCTGGAGTTTACTCGCTCTGAGCAACCATCCTTTAAAGCGTAATTAAGACTGGAAATCTCAAACTTTACATTAGCTTCTTCTTGTGCATCTTTTTTTCGACTCTTATTCGATATATGGTCTAT